GCACCTAGTGTAAAAGATAAAAGTCTTTAAATAAACAACTGGAGCTCTCCCAAGCGGGCTAAGTTTATAAACTATTTTTAACAATTTCGAAAATTATTGTAGCTTCTGTGTAGCGTTGATTTTCAAACATTGGCTTCCTGAGATACACGTAACGGCTAATCTCGTGAGCTCTTGCAAATGCTCAATGGGTCCACCCTTTATAATTGATGGGTAATTGCGTTATCCACCAGAAAGTGCGTATGAGCAGCTTTTATCCGGGTCACCGGCACCAGTTTCACATGTCACGAAGATTATTGCGTTGTGATCACCCTTAGGGCCAACCTCACACCAACTATCATTCCAGGATTTGGAGACCAGAGAGCAATACACTTTCCAACATGAAGACTTCTCTCGCTCGAATGCAGAAGCTCGTCCATGCCCAGGCAATGGTGGAGCAACCTCGAGTGCTTGTACCGATACCAGCCGGCCCAAGAGCTAAGAAGAATTTTATCATGGTGTCTTCACGCGACGCTGAAATCTATCCGCTAGTGGTCTCAGTGTCAGTTGGCCTTGCGATCGGCGCTTTCAGCCTCATTCGCCACGGATTGTTCGATCCAGACGTGAACGTGAGCCGTGACCGACGTGAAACGCCAGCGTGGGAGCGATACAAGCCCGAGGAAGGGCAAGCATTCTCGCGCAACCGTCACCTCCTTGCCAATCTCAAGCCCAACCCAGTCAATACATTTCCAGAGGCACGCAAGCTTCGAGCAGGAGCCGACGGACCGTTCCTGAAACTCCTATAGGAAATCGATGGTGTTGCATGACTAATGTGTAACGGCTTACCAACACGACAAATTCAGCTAAAACAAAACGAAAAATATCATTTCGTGCTGTAACTCGAATTGTCTCATCAGTGGTATCTGCTTCCTGATAATTATTCTTATCTCATGGTGCTCGATTTGACACCTCGACACGTCGACATCACTACTCCAGGTAGTCGAGTGTGAAACTGCGATACCAATGCTGACTTGCCCAGGAAGGCGATTTTTCTTTGAGTTGCTTGAACAGGCCGATGATAATTCCTCCCGCTAATGATCCTTCAAAGAACGGACAGGGGTATTGTAGTGTGTCTACATCAAAGTATATTCATCTTCTACACCTTGGGCACAGGAGAGGCGTAGTCTAAACGGAAAATTGCTGCTGGAGAGCTCATTCAGGGATACATGTCGGTCTGCACCCACATGAGCCCAAAACCGAGGTCAAGCAAAACTATCATTTTGCGGGCTATATATATTTACATTTACTAATATATTTGTGAAAATATATCCTGGCAACCCGATGCGAGTGACGCACTGCGGTGTCAGCAAGTAGTGCATTATTTAAAAGCAGTCCTCATTAAAACTACATATAACGAAGTCGCGGCCACTGGCACTATTGATAGCGACGAAATTACCCGTCGAATACATGTAGGAAACATATTACATATCTTTCATTGGCTGAACCCTTGACCCAAAAAATTCTGATGTCGCGCGGCGGCGTCAAAACTCACCAAAACTATA